AATAGTAATAATAGTAATAATAGTAATAATAGTAGTAATACTAATAGTAATAATAATAGTAATAAAATAGTAATAATAGTAATAATAATAATAGTAATACTAATAGTAATAATACTAGTAATAATAGTAATAATAGTAGTAATAATAGTAGTAATAATAGTAATAATAATAGTAATAATAATAGTAGTAATAGTAGTAGTAGTAATAATAATAATAATAATAATAGTAATAATAATAGTAATAATAATAATAATAATCTTTCAAACATTAAAATCCCAAAATTTGAATTCGACAAAATAAACACGAAAAAGAATTTAGAGATTAGCACTTGAACTCAACAATTTTTTTTAAAATATTAAGCAGTATATATATATTCTAGAACTTATCATTCTAATCCAATTATAATACTATAATAAACATATTTTAATATCTTATATGTTTATGATAGTGATAGGTAATAGGATTTTATAATTTTTGTTATAATAATTTCTCATTTATCTCGTGCTAAGTTTGAAAATCTGGGAAGATAAAAAAAATTAAAAAAAGAGAGAGATATGAATTCATATAGTGAACAAATTTATAAAATTCTAAAAAATATTATAAAAACAAACCTCCAGCAATTATTTTGAAGTAATTTTGGTGTTGCTTTTTACTTCAAGGATCTTTCAAAAATTAAAATCTTATCTTTTGAATTCGACAACATAAACACGAAAAAGATAGAGATTAGCACTTTTTAAAAAATTTAAACACAACAACTACGGATAAAATAATATATTAAAAAAAAAAAAGAGATACAAAAAAAAAAGTTGAGAGAACAATTTGTTATCAAAGATATTTTTTATCAATATTGAATATATAAAGCGTTTGAATTTTGTAACCATTTTCTATTCGTTAAAAAATATAAATTTCTAAAAAAGATGAGGCTAAACTTTTGGGTTATTGAAATTTAAATTTTAAAATTTTAAGAATTTAAACTTGCATATGTGTTTCTAGGGTAGTAGAGACTGAGGGATAAAGGGAAGTGCTAAACTATACCTCGTGTTCTATATTAATTTAATTCAAGTGAATTAAACAAATTGTTTAGTTAGTGTATTTTTTTAAATAAATAGTTTTAATAATTTCAATTTAAAAGTTTACAGAAATTTAAAATAATTTAAAATTTTAATTTAAGTTAAAACGAAAATTATTATTATTATTATTATTATTATTATTATTATTATTATTATTATTATTATTATTAGGGTATTGTTTTGCTATAAATATGGAGGTTGTGGAAAGATATTTTAAAATAATACACGTGTATTTGTTTTTTTTAAAAAAATATATCCTATTTTAATCAATTATCTATATTTTAGGAATCACTACTGCCTTTAATGTAATTCAAAATTAAAAAGACATAAATTTTAAACTGATCCCACTAATTTTGAAATAATTAACTACCACTACATGCAACTACGGTGTTATTACACCTATAATAATTACAGTGAAGAGCAACTAAATTATTCCTTGGTAAGTAGTTGTCGGCCTTGCGACGCATTTATCAACCTGTAAGAATCTAAGCAGACTTCATCACAAAAACTTGCTTGAGGCATGCATGGATATCACAATCAAAATTTTCTATAATGATAACCACATACATAATAATGACAGTAACAGATGCAATACAATTGGATAGTTAATTCTAACAACAAAACTGTTATTTCCTGCTCATGCACTTTTGATCTACAGAACTAAGATTGGAGGCCAATCCACAGAAAAACAGAGGATCATAAGCCCTAAACTGTCAAGGGAGAAAATAACAGAGTTTTTTTAATCCTACCAGAATACCTGAATCCTTGGAAGAAAAACAAAAGGAAACAACAAAAGAGTTCATGCTAACTCTATACATTTGCAACAAGTCATTTACATATGCATGTGATACATTTTCAAGAAGACGAATATTTACACGAGTTCCTCAGAACAAAGGAGGGGACATTTACTACCCTTGAAAAGATTCCAGCATCGGTCCTGACAACTAGTCCCCGTTAAGCCACTACTGCTTCAATCAGATTTACTCCCAGAATACTTCTGCAAATTCCATGAAGATTATTGTATTATACAGGAAATTTGAGATAAATTCCATTCAAAGGAAAAGCTTGAGATATCTTTAGCTTATCCATATCGTAGCTAAAGATAGAAACAATGAGATAACAAAGAAAAACAGCACAAAATACTCTCACATAAATCCCATTAGAGTGAAAAGCTATTTACCTTCTTCCTGAATGGATCATACTTGTATCGAATCATGTGTGTGATCTGACGCTTCATAGTGAGGACAAAGAGAAAAATCCAGTAGCATAACAATATTGGCCAGAATACTGGGACATCAAATATAGAACAGAAGGTCATCAAGAAGGCTACAATGAAAGCTTTTGTTGTTGCATACCTGAAACCATAGGTAAATATGAAAAGAAATTTCATTTAGGGAAGGGATTGTGATGAATACAAACAACAACAACAACAACAATAACAATGCCTCAGTCCCAAACAAGTTGGATTAGCTTTATGAAATCTCACTCCTCACTGACCAACCAGGGAAAAAGAAAGGAACTCCACACATGCAACAAATAGAACATTTATAGGGGTATGAGTTGCCAAATGGGAGTTTGAGCGAGTCAAAACGGACTAAGTTAATAAACGGTTGGATCATTGACATGCCCAATGGTTAAATAAATGGGGCTAAACAATGGGTCATAGCCCAACCTGCCAAACTTTTGCTAAAAGTTTTAAATTTCTTTATTTGTTTTTCTACTAATTTGTTTAATCACCTAACTATTTTTTTTCTTAATTATGATTTTTTATAGCATAGTTAAAAAAAAAAGAGATAGTTCGACAAAGTTTCTCGTGGATCAATTTGGACAGCATATCAACCACATGACTTTAGATGGGCGAATTGGGTGGGTCATAATGGACGAGTTTATAGCTGTGCAGGTCAAACTTGAGCGGGTTTGATGGGTCAGTTTTTCATGGGCCAATTTTTCTATCACTGAACATCTACATCAGTTAACACAGGTAATCCGACATTCTTCCCCAGTTTAATTAGGAATCATCAATGCCTATCCTGTGTAACGCTACCTCATGATTAGATGAAGTGAACAAAAAAAGACATGTGTTACCGGCTGTTATCACATGCTGGACACAAATCCTAGATTCTTATGCTTCAGCTTAGATGGGGCAAAAGTAGCTACCTGGCACACTAGGAAGTCTTCAAAGTGTGACCTCATACTAGACTAGTCCTTATATCATACTAACCAGCAAGACCAAATAATTTATCATGTTTTGGGAAAAAAATAATAGCCTGCTCAGCCACAAGCTAATCCATGACACTCACTAAGCACAAAAGACAACTCCTTGTATTGCACAAGAATGCATATTCACTACATCGCCAGATGAAATCATGATAAGTTGTTAGCCACAAACATCAAATTTCGAGTTAAAATCTCAGAATCTTTGCAGTCTAAGACGTGTAAAGATGATCACCACATTACATTGTGCAATTATACCATGAAATGAGTCAAAGAGCACTACTTCAAAGAGAGATGCAAAGCCTAATCAACTAAGTAAATTGCTGCGAATAGGTATAATCAGTGTTATAATGATCTCACCAGAACAAAAACTCAGGCAACCGACGAACAAAAGGCCTAAATTCATCATTGTCCTTAGGCGGTAAAGAAGCACCATCTGGAGCTTCCAGCTCAGGATCCTCCTTTGGTGACAGAAATCCAATCAACAAATTCAAAATATAGGTTCCTACGCCATATGAGATAACATAAAATCCACGACCATAGTAAACACGCAATATATATATTGAAGCAGCTGCCAGTGTTCCGAGCCACCTGCGGAATGTATAAGGAGCAGACCTATCCAAATAGTAGCGAAATGTCCTAGAAACTTCATTTTTCCACTTAGCTAGTGGTGATTGAACTGCATCTCCACCATCAGCTTCAACTCCCTCCATGAAGTCAACTCAGACTTTCTACAATCTAAGCACAAGAAAGTAGAACCATTAAATTAGCAAAAAAGGATCATTAATCTAATTCCTCCAGAAAAAAAAATTAATTCCTCTTTCATCCTTATAGAATAGAACAACAAAAGAAGAAACACAGATGAACTGGCCTGCTAGTTGCTGCTAAGGCTGGGCACCGGAACGGGTTGTACCGGTACCATTCCGTTCCGTTCCGGTACCATTCCGGTTCGTTCCGATCCGGTAGTATTCGGGACGGGATGGGATACATTGAACCGGTACACGGAACGAAACGGTATCAAGATTTGGTACCGGTATACCGGTACCGGTTCATCCCGGTTCATTCCGGTTCCGTTCCGGTCCGGTCC